TTGCTATTTAAAATGAAAGACTACATAACGATTCCCAAGTAGCAGCTAATCCTGTGTTTTTTCAGGGATCTGAGAAACTGGGAAGGTTGAGTGCTGCGGCGTCAGGGTCTGATGTTAAAGCGTGGGTTTGTGGGCAGCTCCGCAGTGATGGGTGTCGGTACCGAGGCACTGCTGCGGCTTCTAGTTCAGAGGAAATTCTTGACTTATTCATGTGAATCTACTAAAGTATCTTCAGGAGTACTAGTTTGACTGAGCTGTCTTGGTTATTTTCTGGTTTCGCTGTTGGGAGTTCTTGATTTTTTTTGACAGGCCACATTTTTGGAAACTCGCATATTCAGCAGCAGCAGTATCAGTCGTACAATCAGAACATGCCTCCCTTCAGCAGTCCCATCAAGAAGGCATTTCCAGCAGTTATATGCAATCATAAGGAAATATCAAGTCAAGGTGCATTAAACCTGTTTTACTTCTTTACTAATTTTTTTCCCCAAGACTTATGTAGATTTGTATGGTTACTCAAATACATATTTTCTTTTTTGTCAGTGTTTCAGAATGTTACTAGCTACTAAATGATGTAGCTGCTGCATTCTTTGTTGGCCGTTGTGCCACTCTAAATATACTGAATACAGGCTGTATCTTGGCAGTGTTTTGGAAACAGTCTGTTAAAACCAGTGCAAGCCTCTTTGGACTTTCAGCTTGAGAAGAGCATTGAAATGTTAGGTTAACCTACCTGCATTATATTTAATTACATATTACATTATTTAATAACTTGGATTGTAAGAATGGAGGGCTTTGATTTTGCTTTCAGATTAAAAGGTATTCTGATTTTTAGGTTATATCTGTTTGCCAAAAAAAGGAATATGGATCTACACGAAGTGTAGTCCGTAGACTTGGGACAATTCTTTCCTTGGAGCCCTGCCCGAGACCTTATTTTCGAGTAAGTGATTTATTGTTATACATATGCTTCAGCTATTTAAGTTTTCTAGTTTCCTAATGTAGTGATAGCTTTGCTGTTCTTTTTTAGCTTGTGTAACTCTTGCATTGCATACCTTATGCTCGCTGTTTTCAGCTTGCTTACAGCACTGTTTAAAAGTTCCTTTTGCTGAGGCAGGACTTTTAGTGCTTAATCTGGTTTCTCTTCATACTTCTTGTTTGTTTTTAGCTTCTTCAAGACCCAAGTCCATTGAGTAATGGTGAACAAAGCACAACTCCAACTCCTGTAGCTCCATCACTTTCTGATGTCCTGTGGGTGGCAAATGATGAGGGACAAGCATCTACTAGACTTAGGTAAATATAAGTAGAATATATGCATAAAAATGAGTAATAAGAGTAACCTATGTCTTCTTTTCTTTGTGGTGTGTGGTTTTGTGGTGGTTAATTTTTTTTTTCCCTAGCCCTTTCTGGGATAAACATCATATTTAAATGTCTCTTTTTGATGTTGATTACTATAGTGCTGGTTTTTATAATTCTTTCTAGCTTTTACAGGGTGCTAAAGGAAAATTTTTTTACAATTATAAAATATGGCTTCACCCCAGCTGTTGCCTGGTGTCCAGAGCCGTGGGACCTGTAGTCAAGCTCATGGCCCTTTGGCTCCAGCAAACTTTGAGGGGCACAGGACTTATGCTGGGTCATGTTTGCAGTTGAACTTGATGATCTTGAAAGTCTTTTCCAACCCAAACGATTCTGTGATTCTGTGTGATACTGTGAAATCACAAATTATCCAGGAATTTGCCAACATGAATAGTATACAAGTCTTCCCACCTCCCCCCACTAGAGAAGAAATACAAAGTTCGCTTACTGTTCCTCTAAAGGATCTGTTCAAAGTCAGAGGATGAGTCAGTCAGAACCAAGATTAAAATCTGTAGCATGTCTTCTGCTACATCTGTATTGAACAATGTAATTCTACTAAATATTGGTATGTGTTTGTCTGTGATCTTTGTGCTGCTTGCTGGTAATGAAACTACAAGAAACTGATGAAATAACACACTTTTTATTAGAGAAATTTTGATCAAGTTGTGTTTTATCTTGTGATTCCAAAGATATTACTGTTGAATTATGGAAGGTTTTTTTGCAGCAGCTGTAAAATACTGGAAGATCAAGAATATTGTTAAAAGGAACTGTGGCCTATTTTGTTTTGCTTGTGCTGTTCTTCAGTCAGCCTGATTCACAGATCTATGAAAGTTCATTCTTTTGTTGTTTACATTTTTTCTTTTGTTGTTTACATTCTTTCTTCCTCCTCCTTCTCTCCTGGCTCTGTGGGATGTTTTTCAAAAACTATTACTGTAATTGACACCTTTTTCCTCAGAGCCAGTTTGAAGAGGGAGGGTTTCTGTCAAATCAGAAAGCAGTCCTGCAGGTCTGATTTGAAGTAAAAGGATGATTAGTATAAGCAAAAAGGTCTGGTTTTGGTTCGATCAAAACTTAGTGCCCCTTGAATAAATAAATAAATTTATTTGTTTTGTAATTTGTTTGCACTCATGCTGTGTTTTAAGGTTATTTCTGCAGCCACAGGCTTGAAACAATTTTAAAAATTAAAACCTGAGACTTGTAGCATAATTTTCTAGTGCAGTCTGTGTTCATACATAGCTTACTGAAGATGAGGTTCTTATTCTGAGTGTAGTAATTTCACATTTCACAATCCATGATTTTTCTCCAATGTATTTTCTGAAAGATAACAACTTCTTTACTGTTTGCAGCGTTCATCTTGCGGAGTTTGATAAATGACTAAAATGTGTGAAGCCTAATTGATTAATTAACATTATTTGACTCTGCCTGCCTTTCTTATCTACTGTTTCAGGTAGGGAGGGGGCAGATACACCTTTATGGTGTCAGTTTAATAGTTATTGAATAATAACTCAGTCCTACATTATGACTATATGATGTATAATCTGTCACTGAGTAAATTATCTGTTTTTTGTGATGGAGACTTAAAGAGAGACTTAAAATATTTTTAAGGTTATGAGTAGTTAAAAGTTTCTTAAATAGTTTGCAAATTTGTCTTGCTGAATGATGATAACTTGCTTTAACAGACAGTAAGTTTTGAGATTTCCTTTGTTGGCTGAGCTTTTTGAAACTGTGTCTTTTGTTGCTTTCTAGGACTGAGCTATGGAGAAAAGAAAAAAGTACTGCTTATTGTGACCTACATCCATCTATAGATGCAATACAAAGTGTTCCAAAACACTGTACACAAACAGATGGTCTTGTTGATCAAGCAGCACTCCAGAAAATTTCTGCACTTGAAGATGAGCTAACATTTCTTCGTGCTCAGATCGCTGTGATTGTTTCAGCGCAGACTTTGGGAAGCATTCCATCACGTAAGCCCTTCTCGTTTGAAGCAAACCAGTTTTTCTTTTTTTGCTTTAGAGTTCCTGGTCACAGCTTGCCATGTCTGGTATTAATAGAGAACATCTGAAGTACAGAATATAGTATTTTGCTTCTCTTTTTACTATTTGGTGCCACTCCTGTCCCCTCCTGCCCCCCTTCTATATTGTGGCCTGGTCACCAATTTTGAATGCAGTTGATCCAAAGTGATCTTTTTACTCAACTCCATGTTTGAGAAGTAGTTTAGTAACAACACTATTCATAGGCTACCATTTACTGTATAAAAAATTTACAGACTATTAGTTATCCTTTTTGCGTTTTGTACTGTTTCTGACAAGTTAACAAAATAATGGACAGAAAAAGTATTCTAAGTCAGTCAGGCTCAGGCTTTAACAAAAATAAATGCTGCAAATAGATGTGTCACTTGAGTATCAAAGACAGGAGTTCATATTGGAGACCAAGTATTTTGTGACTTTTTTTTTCCCTTTAAAATTTCTGATGTCGTGATTGTCTTACTTGCAGACTAACCCCCCCTGTGATTGTTGAAATATTTGGACTAGTGTGAGGTAGTTACCTTTGTGAGGCACCTCTGTGCTTCAGTTCACTGTTCTGTTGGCTCCTCTTCTGTCTCTTCTCCATTGCACTCAGTATCGTAGTCTGTTTTACATGCTTTGTGGTTATCTTTGCTTTTGCTTCATGTGAGTTATTCTAACCTTCAGACTATTGAGAATGAGCTGTGTGTAGTAGCAGGCTGCTTTGCTGTTGGAGGGCTGCTTTGCTGATTTACCTAGTGTTTAGATTGGAGACACAAACAAAGAAAATCAGAGCAGCACAGGACACCTCAGATTCATTATTGCATGTGGGATGAATCTGTGGCTTTTAAATAAGAAATGTTTTTTTTAAAATAGAGTTGTTCTGTGTTGTTATGTGTCAGGTATGTAAGAAAGTGCTTTAAGAGGGCTGTCTTGTCTTGATTTACAACTGAGTCATCCTGGATGTTGCTTAATACTGTTAATTGTGAAGGTATACTGGATAAAGATGAAATAGCTATTTTTCTTTTATAACTGCTTCCAGAAGCCTTTAAAACATTCAGCACTCCAGATGGATTTTACCCAGTGCCAGCCATGACTTCTACGCCATTGTCTGTCTCTCACAATCACTTTGTAATTCCCTCGCCGCCTCCACTTCCTTCTGGTGTATCATCTGGTGTTGATGCTAGTAATGCAGCAGTTGAACTTATAAAACAACGTCGTGCTGCAAGAAACAGTGTTTCAGCTGCCGCTGATAGTGCTGATCACCAGAGGACAAAGAGCATCCCTAGTATGATGGATGTTTTGAAAGACCTAAACAAAGTTCAGCTGCGAGCTACTGAGAGGTAGGTTGAATTAAATGTGTATCTGGGTAAGCCAAGACTGTGTAAGCATCGCAGCACTTAAACAGTACCAGAGAACTGCTTGATGTGAAACATAATTTAATGAGCAGCTACTACTGACAAACTTCAGTTGTCAACTTCTGTGTTCACAGCTTGGAATATAAGATAGTTGTGACATTAGGTTTTTTGGATTCACTGTGAAAGGTGAAATCCTTGGGGAAACATTGGAAAACTGCTGTTAACATACCGAAAGTATTTTGGTCCTAGCTTTAAAGCTTATTGAAAATGTTTGTAAATTTTTATTTCAATAGTGCAGTTGGATTATAAATATTTTTAATGGTCTGCTGTTTTGATGGTAGCATGGTTGATGTGTTAAAAAATGCGTTACTAAAGACTGCAATACCGCTTCAGGTCAGCGTTGTTCTGCTATGTTAGGTGTGATGGAGGTTGTCAGATGCCTTTTCTGAACTTCTTGACTTGAAAAAGTATATAAGAACAATATGAATATTTGGAGCTCTTTATGTGGGAAAAATGTCACTTACCAAAACTTACTGCATTCTTATTTCAACATTTTCTTGACTGTGAGCTTTATCCCTGAAAATAACTAGCACAAGTCTTAGACAAATTATCTATATGCAACTCTAAAGCATAGCTTTACACTTTTGATGGCATTTTCACAGTAAATAAAGCAAATATAAGCTGCATGTAGGTAAACCTAGGTGTTTCCTTATATGTGTGTTCTTCCATATAATTCCATGTACAGTGAGTGCAGAGAGTGAAATGTTCAGGTTGACAGTTTTAACAATCATCATGTTTAGCAGGGGCATAATTAGTAGGAAGTGGTTGGTGTGCGTTTGAAGTGCTTTCTGGATTTAGGCATCTACCTGTGTTCTGAAGGTAGAATTTAACTGAATAGTTAATTTTTGTTGTTGGAGGGAGTAATGATGATCGGAATTGCTGTAATCTCTCAGGCAGTAGTCTGACAGTGGTTTTAATGTGTTCACTGTAAAGAAAGACCTCCGTTCTCAGAAGTTACCCCAAAGATCCCAGTTTCTGCCACCTGACCACCAGTTTATGCATTGGCTGAGTGCTTTAACAGTTTGATTTTATAGGAAGGGTGAACTCAGTTGTTTCAGGTTTCATGTTAACAGCATCTACTTTATGGACAACTGGCCGCGTATTTGACTTAAAGTGGTTGTTTTCTTTAAATGTAATTGCTCTGAGGAATTTTGTAAGTTTATTCTTTCTTGTGAGACCATAGAAAGGCATACTGTTCCAACTTAATAATGTTTAAATCAGATTATGTTCACAATGGTTATGAAATATGTTAGTGGGAGATTCCCAGTAACATACTGTTAATATAACTTATAAATGAGACCTGCTATGACCACTGCGCATTTTGCCTTTTTTTTTTTTTTACCCCTCATTATTTATTTGCAATACTTGAATACTTTGTGTTGATTTACTACCATTTTTCTTTATGGAACAGCAATGAGTTGTTTTCAAGCTAAGAATCTGGCTGACAAGTTGTTAGGTGTACTTGTATCAGCCCTACTTGGTGGACTGCTGTAAAGTAACATAAGCAGCAGCATTTATGTAATCTGGGATTTATAGGAGAGGGTGTATACAGAAGTGTGTCTCTAGATTTTGGATCGTTCAGCACAGGATTAGGGGAAGGAAACATTAATTTTCTTTTTTTGTAGGTCACCTGGAGGTACTCCTCTTTCTAGACCCAAAAAGAGGCAAAGTTCGAATTGGGATCCAGTTGCTCTACTAACTCATGCACTAAAGCAGAAATTTGCACATAAAATTGATGATGAAGATGATTCTCTGGACAAAGAAAATCAATCTTTCGATAGCTCCCCATTTTCTAGTCCAGAGATGCCATTGGTATGTTTTAATATAAGAATGTTTCTATATTCTTGAAGTGAGTGCTGTTTTCATGGAGAGTTGCAGGGTTTTTATATAGTCTACAATGTTTTTAAGGCCTAGGTAGTTGCTTTTTTTCAAGTATAATCAAGGCAGAGAATCTCAGAGATTAATTATTTTGGGTGGATTTAGACTAGTAAATACACTTCTAAATGCACCAAGAGTGCTGTTGTCATGGAGAGTTGCAGGGTTTTTGCTAGTCTACAATGTTTTTAAGGCCTAGGTAGTTGCTTTTTTTCAAGTATAATCAAGGCAGAGAATCTCAGAGATTAATTATTTTGGGTGGATTTAGACTAGTAAATACACTTCTAAATGCACCAAGAGGGAAAATTTAGAAGATTGACTTTGAAAATTCAGCTCATAGTTGATTCAACTGTGGATATTTGCTTGATGGTACATAGCAGGTATCCATGCATAGAAACTGTATATCTAGTTAGTAATACTAACTACTTATTGACTAACTAATTTTACAAATAAAGATGCTAGGAAGGTACAGAGAGGTCTGACTAACATGTGCTCTGTGTTTAGAAATGAAGATGAAAGCATTGACTGTAATACTTTTCTTTGAGGTAGCATCATTTTCACACAGTTTGCATTTTTAGCCAGAATGAGATGTGCTTCTGAATGCTGTTGCAAAGCCCATGAAAAATATATTTTTTTTGCTATGAACAAGAAAATCGTGGTAGACACAGCCATCAGACTAAAGTGATTCTGAGTACTGGTTTCTGTAGAGCCGCCTCTACGAGCTACTTCAACAGTCCAGCAGTGCTGTTGGTTATTTGTTAGGGACATCCACAAACCTCTGAACTGCTTAGATGAACTGGATAGAAATAGGTGGCTGTAATTTAAACCGTGTCTCTGCTTAGCAATTCT